GATGGCTGCCCGATAGGCTGCCCAGCCCCCAGCCAGTCCTGTTTGCTCGTCTTGTCTCTCTGCGGGCAGAAAAAAAGAGTGTGGCCGGGTGGAGAGTTTGCCTACCTATAGGGGCTTGTGTGAGAAACGCCCGCTGACAGGGGGCGTTAGGGCCGCCACCCCACCCCCACCCCACTCACATTTCGCTCGGCCGCTGTCTGTCCGTCTGTCTAGTGTGGCGGCGCCCCTTTTGTGCCGCGTTGGTGTTTCGTAATTACAGGGAAATTGTTTCTTTTGTTCGCAGGTTCGTTGGTTCGCTGGGTGGAAAGTTGGTCCGCGTTAGCAGTGAGCGTCGGCTGGCCCGTTTTGTCCCAGTAAGTGCCCGCCCCGCCAGTCGTCGGCCTTGCCTGCTTGCTGCTGCTCGCGCCGCGGAAAGCGGAAATCAGTTTCCCGGGAGCAACTTTTCTCCGCCCCTCACGGTCCGTGTGCGTGCGCTGCGCGCTAAAAGGCAGAGAGAGAAAGAGAGAGAGAGAGAGAGAGTCAGTGCGTCTTCCGCTGCTGCTTCTTCAATCGGCGACTTATGCCTCCGGAAAGGAGAGCCGTGAGCTATCAGCGGCGGGAAAAACGACCCGTCGATACTCCGCGCGCGATAGACGGCCGGCATTGCAATTCCCCGGGCCATTTCTTTGGGGTCCGATGGCGCATGCACTATCAGCGGCGGGGAGGAAATGCCCCGTCGCTACCCCTCGCGCTAGGGACTCTCAACGGGAAGCTTATGGAAGACGCAGTGCGCGCCGCTGGGTATTGCCGCGGTTTTTGCCGCTGACGGCGATGTCGCGGGTGACGCCGCGCTGGCCCGCGGCCAGGAAGCGCGCCGCCAGTGTGGTGGACGCGGACGTCGCGTGGTGTCCGAGTGCCTGCAGGCCGCTGTCTCTCTCGCACTCACGGGGCGCCCCGATGGAGACGGAGCGCGACAGCATGAATGTCCGGAATGGTCCTGCCGGCGGGTATCTCGATGGTGGAATGCAAGCGTGGTCGATGGGATGGGACGCGCCGTGGCAGACGAGGTTTTTTGGTTTTTGCTTCCGTTGTGTCGCCGCATCGCATCCCCAAGTCTGGCGCTGCCGTTACGGGCATCGCATAAAAATATAAAAATATTACTGCCGCAATTGCCGTAAAGCCCGGCGCGGGGTTCCCCCCGGCCTGGCCCTGCGCCTCGGCCCCGAATTGATTTGGAAGTGCGTCCCCCTCGAGTACCCCCGTCGCCCCGTCGGCCAACGTGGCGGCGACGCGTTCGATCCCCGCCCTCGGCGCCGCACCACCCAGCCTAGGCCGACTCCGAACTTTGCTGTCGCTGTCTCTCTCGCACTCACGCGCCGCCCCAGTCGGGGTGCGAGAGAGACAGAAGGACGGAAGGTCTGCGCCGCGCCGCGGGGAACCCTGCCTGATGAATCCGCGTGGCGGTCGCGGGGGCACGGCGCTGCGGCGCCCCCGGCAGGGCTTCCAGTGTGCTTCCAGCCTGGAGCCTCCAGAGGCAGGAGTGGAGCTGGAGTCCCTTTTCTCCAGACTCGGGCTGCCCGCCCTCCAGGCGCGGAGCTGCCTCCGCTGAGCCTGCAGCCGGGGCGGCTTCGGCTTCTGTTCGATCCCCGACTGTTTGGCGGTCCGTCTTCTGGAGCTCGGCCTCCTCCTCCTCCTGCTCCTCGAGGCGCCCAGTGGCGGCGGGGCTGTTCTTCTGCGTGCTGTTTGCGCTCCCCTGCGGCATCCTTTCCGGTCCGCGGGGGTGCGGCCGGCCCCCAGCCATGCCGCGCCGTCTCTCTCGCACACCCTCGGAACGCCCCACGAGTGCGAGAGAGAGGACGGTGTTCGAAATGAGCCTGCTGGATGGAGATTGGCGGCACTGGCCTGGGTTTGGCCCTCGCCTTGCACAGTGGGCCAGAAGACCGGCGGAGGCGGCCAAAACTCCAGACACGTTTTGAGCTCCAGAGTCGCTAAATTGGACTCGAACCGAACGTGTGACCCCACCAATCTATTGGTCTCCGAACGAGGAATCCATTGGTGGGGTCACACGTTCGGTTCGAGTCCTGTTTAGCGACTCTGGAGCTCAAAACGCGTCTAGAGTTTTGGCCGCCTCCACCGGTCTTCTGGCCCACTGTGCCTGGCTCGGGCTTCGAGTCTGCTTCGAGTAGTCGAGTCGCTCGATAATCCCCGTCAACATTTGCCCCGGAGAAACAGCCGGCCAGGCCGACGCATTGTGTCCACGGGCTGTGTGTGGCGTGGGGATGGCGGTCTTCCTCCCCGTCGTCCTCCTCGTCGTCCTCCTCGTCGTCCACCAGGGCCCGCCTCCAGGCCTGCGCAGTGCGGCGCGCGCCCCCGCCCCCTTTTGATGATCCGATCCCCGGGATTACTTCATCTCCTTTTAATTCCCTGAGCCGGGCGGCCCAGGCTGCGGAAAGGCAAGAGCAGGGGCGGAGATCTGCACTCGTCAGCCCTCTCGGCCCTGATTGAGGAACTCGTGGCCTCCCCCCCCCCCTCCGAGTCCTCGGGGGATGATGACCCCCTCCCCCTTATCGCGCTCCCCATCGCCGCCCCGATTGCGGCCCCAGTGCCTCTTTTTGACGAGCTGCTGCATCATTGTTATCGCGGAGGCCGCCGTCATCGCCGAGGGTAACGTTGGTAACGACATTGTGGGCGCCGGGGAGTGTGTCCGGGCCCCGCCGGACCGTGGCATCCCCATTGGCAACGGCCGCAAAGCAGGAGGAATGTCCTCGGGACTCTGTGCGAGTGCGGACGCGGCGTGTGGCGGTCGACTTCGCCCCCTGCCTGCCTCCGGTCGCCTCCGGTACAGCCTGCGACCCCGCTGCTGCTTCTGCTGCCGACGGAGCGGAAAGTTTCCTGTTTTCCCCATCCCTTTGGCGTGTGCTGTGTCAGTGTATCCGTGTCCTGTCCCCCTCCCCTTCCCTCCTCCCCGTGTCGTGTCCCTTGGCGCCCCGCGCGCGCGCTCGCACGGCGTTCGGATGCCGTCCCGTGGAGCGCGGCTGTCGGCCGGGTGGCCTACGTCGCACGGCGGTCTCCGAGGCCGCCGCCGGTGCTTATGTCCTGACGGAACGGCACGGGGTGGGGTGGGGTGGCGGTGGGGGATCGGGTGCGCTGCCACGCCCCGCCCCGCCCCGCCGCGAGCCTCTCCAGCAGACCGTTCCAGCATAGGACGCTGGCCGTCTTCTCCAGCTGTCTGTCGGTCCGTTCGCCGGCCGCCTGATTTATTTGGGATTTATTTATACCGCGAGAGCCGCTGCCGCGTTCATTTTCATTTTTCCATTTTCATGTTTTCGCCTTCGCGCGCGGCGGCCCGGATAGAATGGTCTCGCCGGAGCGGAGCGCCGCCCCCGCCCGGCTCGCCGCTCGCCCCGGGCACGCTGCCATGTGGCGGCCGCCCCGCCGGACAGCGCAGACCTCGCAGACCTCGCAGACCAGGCTCGGACTGGCCCCCAAAAGGCCGCAAATGGCCCCCGATCATCATTATGTTTTTACCCTTCATGACCAACTTTGTGAGGCTACCGCTCCCAAACTAGTTGCGGTCAATAGCCTTCCCGATACAGGGCATGAAAGAGTAGGGTCTTAAGAATACTAGGGCGTCGAGGAAGGCCTTTTACGGCGACTAGATTGGACACAGTGGCCTCCCAAAGTCAGCAAAATCAGCAAATTTCCCAGATTCGACCACTTTTTGACCAACTTGGTCGGAAAATCGTTGCGGTCAAAGCCAAAATCGTTGTGGTCAACGTCTTCCCGATACCGGGCATGAAAGAGTAGGGTCTTAAGAATACTAGGGCGTCGAGGGAGGCCTTCTACGGCGACTAGATTGGACACAGTGGCCACCCAAAGTCAGCAAAATCAGCAAATTTCCGAGATTCGACCACTTTTGACCAACTTGGTCGGAAAATCGTTGCGGTCAAAGCCAAAATCGTTGTGGTCAACGTCTTCCCGATACCGGGCATGAAAGAGTAGGGTCTTAAGAATACTAGGGCGTCGAGGGAGGCCTTTTACGGCGACTAGATTGGACACAGTGGCCACCCAAAGTCAGCAAAATCAGCAAATTTCCGAGATTCGACCACTTTTGACCAACTTGGTCGGAAAATCGTTGCGGTCAAAGCCAAAATCGTTGTGGTCAACGTCTTCCCGATACAGGGCATGAAAGAGTAGGGTCTTAAGAATACTAGGACGTCGAGGGAGGCCTTTTACGGTGACTAGATTGGACACAGTGGCCGCCCAAAATCAGCGTAAACGGCTATTTTCGGAGATTTAGTCACTCTTTGACTAACTTTGTGACGTTACTGGTCCCAAAACCGAAGGCCCCGGCAGATTTTTCCGCCTGTCTGCCCTGGCCAGTCCGACGGGACGTCCGGCACGTTTTAATTAAAGAAAATCTCCTTGTGCTTTCCCTCTATAGGGAGCAGATTTCTAGGACTTCTCCTCCAAGGGCTTCGACCGCCAACTTGGCGAACCGACAGTGTAGCGAACTATAGAGCTCGGCGTGTTGATGGCTTTACTGTGGATCAAGTTTGCCGTCGCCTCTCGGTCGGCGCGTTGCTCTGGCAAGTTGGAATTCCTGCTACTTTGTCATCGACGTGGGCCGACTGTGTCTCTATCCCTCTCTATCTCTCTGTGCCTTTGCCGCCGAGCTGCCAAACTCGGTTTGCGCTTCCACCGCGTGCCCCCCCCCCTCCTCTCCCCGGTGCGCTGGCCGCCGTGCCGACGGAATAGCAATGCCCTCAGGGGAAGGGAGTGGGGGGGGGGGACCTTAAATGGCACTTCTAATTGCATTGGCTGGGCAAGGAAGGCGCGGTGCCTGCTGAGTGCAAGTCGCCACCCCCCTTCTCCGTTTCCTCCTCAAGTAGTGCCATTTCTTTCCTTCCCTCCTCCTCGCGGCGCTGAGCGCGCTGAGCGCGCCGGGCGGATGAGAGAGACGCCACGGCTTTAGAGATGTAATTGATTCCGATAGAGATTGGCCGGTTCCCTGAAATGTAAAGACGACGGACAGCATGGTCCTGCAGACTCTGGGCCTGCACCGTTGGCAGAGCAGGGGCGGCGAATGCAACAACAACAACAATCACGCCAGCGACAGCTGTAACGTAAACAACAACAACAACGTCGACTTCACCGTCGACAACAACCGCACCGCGTTGAAAAGGTGAGTGGCTCCGGGTGGCTCTGCCGATGCACCTCGCCGCTGCCGTGGTCGCCATGGCGACGGAGGACCGCTGCACCTGCCCCCCCCCCTTATTTCCATCCGGCTTTGGCAACTTTTCGGCGGCACATAATAACGACTAGCACGTCCCGCGAGGCGAGGCGACCCAAACTTCAGCCGGCCCGAGTTGCGCCTTGCGCCGCTTGCGCCGCCCGCTTCTCGTGCCGCGCTTTTGATAAGTTTCCGATTTTTAGAGACGAGCAACTTTTAAAAGGCGCCTTGCCTTTCGAGTTTCGAGGCGCGGCTTAGCGCCGACTTTGCGGCGTGGATTGATTTGTGGCGGCCAAGTTCTTGCCGCGGCTTCGCTGGGAGGCTGAGCGCAGCGCGGCGCAGCACTGCCGGGCTAAACGCCGACCCGACCGTCTCGACTAACTGCCGGGCAAACCGCTGTCCCGGGCTAGAGCTGACTGTGCCGATGCCTTTGTGGCCGAGCTAGCCTTGCCTTAGCCTTCATCCCCCGAGCCGTCGAGTGGAGCGGAGAGGGTGGCAGGCCTGTCTCACCCTGAGTCTCCCCGTCAGTCGCCCGGCCGCCTGTTCGTGGCCCTGTTTACCCTCGTTATCCTGCGGGTCCTCGAGGAGGAAGGAAGGGCCGAGGTGAAAGGGGGGGGGGGGAAGTGGCCGATCTGTTTCCAGCCCCGCCAGCCCCGATCGGCCCTGGCTTGGGCCAAGGGCTGAGTCGCCTTGCGTCGCCCCTCCTGCAAACTAGGCTGCGGGGAAATCATTGAGGCTGCGCGCGTCCTGTCTGGCCCTGGCCCTGCACTGGGGCGCCGCGACGCGAGGCTCGCCGGCTCGTTTGCATGTCATGCATGAAATGCATGGCACTGCTGTCCCGGGTCCGGCGGCACACATTGGGCTAAAACATCCTTTTAGGCGCTCAAAACCTCTTTATTAAAAATCGTTTAAACGGGCAAACTTTGTCTCCATCGGATAGGAAATTTTCCGCAGATTTCAAATCTGGTCTTATTTTTGTTGTCAGACCAAAACTACGACCACTACAGGCCGTCAAAGTTAAAACTTGTGATAATGTGTTATTTTTAGTAAAAAAATGCAACAAAACGCCACAGCGATTTTGACGGCTTTGCATCTAGATTTTGAACCTCCGGAGGTTCCATTTTAAAGAACAAGTATTCCCGTTCAAAATGATACCCGAGTTATCTTCCTGCGATAATTTGAAGGGTGTTGGTGTGCATATAATCGCTTTATTTGTATAACTTTTACTTTAAAAACAAAAGTTTGAGATCTACTATAGAATCAAGCACTATCAAGCAGGTTTCAGCGCTGGAAATTACCAACCTATGTGTCAATTAAAAGGATCAACAGAGAAAACCTGCGCATATTTGCGCAAACAGTAATACGCGGCTGTGAAACATTAAAAAATTGGCAATTTTCCCCTTTTTGATAGAAAATGTGTCCCAACGAAGAAAGAATCCAAGCAACCGTGTCACCATCCCAACCGTCCCTTGTCTTTTCACGTGCTATTTGGCTCCTTTTCCCTAGCCCCCCTGCCCCTTCTCTTCAACTAACACTCAAGAAAAGGCCACCCGGAAGTGCAACAGAATTGATGGGAATGCAGATCTTCTGACTGCAATGTTAATTCATCTGATTCTGTGATCAGCTCTTTCAGAAAAAAAAACCTAAAGCCAAGTCTTAAAAACTGTGTGCCACAGTTCTTTCACTTATAGTTGGCCCCTTTGATGACCAGGCTAATGAGCCTGCCATGTTATTGTTCCATGAAGAGTAAAATGATATAACATTTAAAAATTGGTTTTAGGAAATTGAAGTTTGGCAGTTGTTATAAAATCTGTAGCCATGATTTTTCACAGTAATGTTTTTAAGAACGTACATATAATTTAAGTGATGTTTTTGACTCCTTTTTGACTCCTTTCAGCAGTTTTCAATTGTTTCGTCTGAAATTTACATTTAAAAACAACAATATGTTTTGCATTGATCTAGTGGAAAGAGAGACTGCTCCCGCAGACTCAGAAATATACAACATAAAAATACGATTATATTAAATCAATTTTCGGTGAACCACGGCTGAGATAAGGTCACACTTGCCGCCGCTTGTTCAAAATTTTATAAAGTAAGACCAAAAGAGGGTCTGTACCAAATTTGGGACATATACGATCGAAAATGGCTGAAATGTAGGTTTTGAGCGTCTAAAAGGGCGTTTTAGCCCACTGTGCGGCAGCGCGGCGATGAAGTTCTCATTTCCGAGATGAATGGAACGACAATGACCGGCCTTTGTTTTTGTGTCTGCTTTTTTTCGGGGGGCTCTTGTTGTTGTTCCGGCGCGCCCTGCTGACCCGCTTTTGAATCCAGTCACTTCTCGCCGCGGTCCGCACGGCCTCGCCTCGTCTTCCGGTCTCGCCTCTCGACCTCACGGCCGCGGCGTGGCGCGGCATGGCGCGGTGCGTTATTCCGGTCCGGCTGAGCTCATCGCCGCAGCGTGCCACAGTGTGCCGCAGCCTCCAGTGAGGTCACGGACGAGGCCCGACTGCCTGACCCGGTGACGAGGCCGGCAGAAGCGTCCTGCACACGCCGCGCACTCACTCCGTACCCATCCACTTCGCGACTAGCATACACCTGTGTATGTGTACCTGTACTAAAATTTCAGTTTTTTTCTGTTTTTTTTTTTCACTTTTTTTGTTTGGTCAGTGTGTCGATGCTGCTTTAGATTCTTCTCCATCTTTGCATAGCCGTCCAATGCTGTGCACCCTGCACTGTTAAAAAGATCCCTCAGTGTTTTGGGCCTGGAGGCGTGGACGAAGGCGCCTCGCCTCCTCGTTGAGACCCGAGGCTGCCCGAGAGGCCCGAGGCCTATGCGGTGTGTGGTCGTAGCGTCTGGCCGGGCTGGCCCTGACAACACCTGTTTGCACTCCGCCCCGCCGGCCCGCCGGCCCCGCCAGACCCCGATCAATGAGGCCCCGGCGGACGTGGTGCGCGGTCACCTCCAGAGGCCGCACCGTCCTGCCGGTACCGAGGGCTCTCGTCGCTCCGTCTCTCTCGCACGCGTGGGGGCGTGCCGCAGGGGAGACGGACACAGTGAGAAAGACAACGCCCGGCTTGCCGAAAAAACAAAACAAAGGCGGCCTCGCAGTAATAAAACAAAATTGCGTTTTTCAAGTGGAGCAGACTGTTTTCGCGGTGCGTGCGTCGGTGTTGTGGCTGACCGCCGTGGGCAATCTGCGCGTGCAGATTGCTTGTGCATGTTTGACGCGGGGGACGGCGCATTGCTCATTGCCCCGGGTGTGGAGCCCCGCCGGCCGCCGAGCCAGGCGACGTCGGGGGAAATCTTGGCGCCGTGTCGCCGCCCCCGCCACTGCCCGCCTTGCTGATGAGGGCGGCGAGTGCCTCGATGTACCCGAAGGGGAGCAACTGCAGCCCGGGCGGCGGGCGCGGCGTTCCGGTGTACGTGCCGGCAGTGCGCGCCGCTCTTCGCCTTGACGGCGCCCGTTCGTATTTGGGTCAGGCAGCACGGCAGTGAGGCGCGGCGACGCGGCCACTACACCGCCAGCGGCGGAAAACGCTAACGCCTGCAGACCGCCGAGCTGCGCGTCGCCAAGCCGCCAGTGCGTGCGTATGTGTGCGGGACGCGTGAGTGGCCGACGCGAACCTCCCCGACGACGACGGGCACCTCCACCACGCGAACCTCGCGGACGACTTGAACGTCCCCGTTAACGTGCACCTCGCCGACGACGTGTACTTCCGCGACTAGGCACAGCCCCCCGGCGACGTGCGCCCCCGCCGCGGCGCCACCCCGGCGCCCCCAGCGCCCCAGCCCCAGCGCCATGCCGAGCTGATGCCGAGCCTGCGGTGGCTGCGGCGGATAATCTAAAGCGGCTGCGGTCTCGTCGAGCCGCCTGCTGTGTCGGCGACGTCGGCGACCTCCGCGTCGGCGTGGTGGTGGCTTTCGCCCTTGTTGTCGAGGTGAGGGACGTGCCTCGCAGGGCCTGCAGGCACCCCGCGCTTCCGCGCGGGCTGCGTGACCACCACGGGCTGGCCGGCTGGCTCGCTAGGTCCGCAGGCGGGGATATACCGCACTGAATTAAACCCGGTTCAATTTAACCCGGTTTCCCCGCCGAGTCGTAAAGAAAACGCAATTTGGGTGCGTAATAAGCGCCTAACACATAACAGTGAGAACCCCGAGCCGAGTGAGTCTTTGGCGGACTTTCTCCGCGGAGTTTGTGACGCAAGGGGGAGGGGGACCCGCGGGGGGACCCGCGGGGGGACCCGCGGGGGGACCCGAGGGGGCCCGCGGCCGCGAATCGGGTCGGGTCGGCGGCAGCAGGCGGATCGTGGATCGCGGTGCGCGGCGCGGCCAGGCGGCGGGGTCGACGCCGGCCGGGCTCGGTCGCGGCTGGTTTCATTTCGAGCCGACTCTATGTAATTACGATTGTTCCTATTAACCTCGCATTAGAGGTTCTGGCGGGCTCCGGGGGCCGGAACGCTTATGGGCTCTTGAGTCGCAGCTGTTGTTGTTGTTGTTGTTATCGCCCTTTTCTTCCTCTGCTCCGCCTTTCGCGCCACTTAAAGTTTTCGTGTATTATTGAGTCCGGCGAGCCAGCTGCGCGGGACTGAAGGCGCCCCAGCCATAGGGCCCAGGGCGTAGGCTCCAAGCCATAGGCCTCCGGTCCGCTGCACCGGCCATGAGTAGCGAAGTAATCCACTTTGCAAACGGGGAACGGGAGCCAGCCCCTGTGCCGCTGGTGCCGCTGGTGCCGCGGGTCCCGCATCGCGTCCCGCATGCTGCAGCCTGGAATGTCTTCCTCGCCGGCGGCACGGCCGAGGCAGCCGAGGCGCGGGCTGCAATCATTTCGAGAGCGCGGCGCGGCGGCACGGCACGTGGAATCCGAAAGGACACCGACAAAAGCGTCCAAAATGCCCCCCCTTTCTCGCGGTCGCCAGAACGCCGCGTCGCACCAAATCCCGCCGTTCGCGGG